CTTCTAACTTCTCACATCCTCCCACCAATTCAGAGCAGGGGAGTCCCTTAGAGAACAGTGGAATGTTTCTCTTGTGACTCAAGCGGAGATTTTCAGTTTGGCTTCTTTATAATGGGGGTGAAAAAAGAGTAGGCCATAATAGGCAGCCTCTGGAATTTGTGCTCAGTGGCCTGGCATCCTGGGCTGAATGCCCAGCCAGCTCTCCCTGTCCTTGCTCCCCTGGGATGGGAGCTACTCCTTTTCCTCCTGGAGCTGACCTGTGATGACTGCCAAAGTGACAGTGGCACTGAGCTGTTGCCCCTGCAGATGGATGCGGCAGGTGTAGGTCCCAGCCTGGGTCTGGCTTACAGCCTCTAGTCGAAGGGTAAAGTTGCCATTGTCTCCGGACACCAGGAGGTCAGGACTTCCCCCAGGAGGGGTCCACTTGGCAGTGAGGGAAGACGGGGTCCCTACACCAGGAGGCAGGCGACAGGGCAGCTCCACCCTGGAACCTGCTCCAGCGTACACTGTCAGTGGGGTTGGGGGCTCCAGACCTGGAGAGAAAAGGGAACTCAAAGTCAAAGCTGCGGGGGGGGCTGCAGCGGAGGAGTGCTGGCACTGCAGGGAGGGAGGCAGCAGAGTGAAGGAGGTGGTCCCGCTCGCAAGAGCGTTAAGTAGCAGAATGAGGTGGATGAAGTGAGGATGCTCAGAAACCCAGAAAGTAGGCTGGGCCTGCAGGAGACCAAAGGCTGGCAAGTGAGGCTGGATGGCCAAGGGAAAGTCAGAAGGGGAGAAGGCAGTGGAAAGGCTGCCAGGAGAAGGGGGTTGGACAGGTGACAGAGAGACCCAGAGCAATCACAGGCAACAATAGCTTCAAGAACCTGGTTTGGGGACCTGGTTCAGGGTGGGTGGGGGGCGGGGCAGGAAGGGGTTGTGGTCAAGTGTGATCGCAGACGGGGGAGTTACCCAGAACAGTGAGGTGGTACATGATGGAGACACTGAAGCCATCTCTGTAGGCAAGGACACAGCCCCAGGGCCCAGAGTCTGAGGGCCTGACTTGGGGCAGGAAGAGGAAGTTTTCAGCCAAGTGGTGATGGGGGGACTCCTGGACAGGGACTTGGCCCTGGCCCCGGAACCAGTGCACAGAGGTTGGGCGGTCAGGCCGGCTGAAGGAGCAATTCAAAATGACCCAGTCGGAGGTCCTGGGAGACCCTGAAGGGCTGGCAGTCACTGTGCAAAGAGAAAGAAGGCTTAATCAGCTCCACTGGAAATACTTTCCCAACACAGCAGACCAACAATGTCGTCGGAAGCTCCCGGAAACAGGGTCCTTGCTTCAGATTTCTCTTCTCCAACCGCCCCACCCCCCACCCCCGGCTCAGTGCCTGGCACCTGGAGATGCTTAAAGTAAATCCCCCCAAATCTGCTTTGCCCTGTCTCCTGCCTCGAGTTTACTTGGCATCGTCCACCTTTCCCATTCACCAGGCCTTGCCCGAGGATCCCCACGAAGCCCACCCCTGAGGTACAGAAATGAATCACTCCAGCCCCACATTCGTCCCCCGTCCCCCCAGAAGCCGTGCCTGCCCCCTCCAGCAGGGCCCTCCCGCTGTAGGTGGGGGAAGGGGAGCCCGAGGGTGATGCATCTCTCCACACGGCCCTCCCCCCATGCGCGTGTCCTCTGCCGGCCCTTGCACTCCGCAGTCCGACTCCCCGGCCCCTTCCTCTATCCCTCGGGGGATCTCGGGCAGGGCCTGGGGCGCCCTGTGCCCCAGCCCTTCCTACTCACGGGGCAGGGGGTATGGGGGCCTCCTCCCAGCCCTCTCCCCTCGTCCCGCCCCCACCTACTGGAGGCCTGGCCCACGCGCAGACGGAGGCGGCAGGCGAGGGCGCGGTCCCCGAGGCGCACCGAGGCGCGGTACTCGCCGGCGTCGGTGTGCCCCAGCCATTCCTGCTAATGGGCGACGGTGTATGGGGGGCCCTCCTCCCAGCCCCTCTCCCCTCGTCCCACCCCCACCTACTGGAGGCCTGGCCCACGCGCAGACGGAGGCGGCAGGCGAGGGCGCGGTCGCCGAGGCGCACTGAGGCGCGGTTCTCGCCGAGCTGGGCACAGCCACAGCGAGAAATCCCCGCGCTGGAGGCCGCGTTCCTCCAGCTGCATGCGGGCGGCAGCGGCAGCTTCCCGCTGCGCAGGCCTCCGGGAGCCACGCTCAGCTCGTGTAGAGGCGAGTGGAAGGCGCCACCAGGCGGAATCCGGGGGCCAGGCCGAGCGGGCGGGCCGCTGGGAGGGAGAAAGAATGGAGTCGAGAAATCCGAGGGGTAAGAAGGCTGGAGAGGACGCGGTCCCATCACCCTTTGAGCACGAGGAAGCCACCCCAAGAGCACTGTTGGCCACCAGCGGCCGCCACCCCGTCCGCTCCCACGGGACCGGCACCATCCGCTACTGCAGGGGGCGTGCGGGCAGGTGTGAGGAGCAGTCTGCGGAGGAAGGGACGGAGGGGCCGTGAGGCATTCTGGCTTCGGGGGGACTGACAGCTCCGGGAGGGGACAGAGGGCGGGCTTGATGTTGGGTTGTGAGTCTGATGCCGCTAGTGCCTGATTTGGGGGTTCTGTTGCCAAAGTTGGGGTATGTACCTGTCCGGCTGATGCTGCCAAGTGACCCCTCCTCTTCGCAAAAGGCTGAGATCCTGGAGCGGGATTGTGGGGCTGCAGGGGAGCTGGGCAGGAGCCCCCTCCTGCGCCCACACGACTGGGACCCCTGCGTCGGGCCCTGGAGCTTCCACTGGGGGAGCAAAGGAGAGGCCGGGGGAGGGGACCATGAGTCAAGAGACTTAGCAGTAGAGAAGGAGCCTCAGTGTGTCCCAGGGAGAAACAGGGTGGAGGAAGAGCTTGGGTTTCTGCCCCTTTCCTGCCAAGGGGGTGGCCAAACAGAAGCTTCGAGGATGGAAAGACTGCCCCAGGAAGGCTTCAGAAGACTCCACGGCAGAGCTAAGGACTCTGGATCTTTGAGGCCATACAGGGATCCCTGCTGGCCCCTTCCTGCGGGCCTGGAGGTCAACCCTCCCACCATCCCACCTTACCTGGAGCCACACACAGCAGTTGCAGAAGCAGCAAGCCCTCGAACGGAGCCTCCCACATCTCCACCATGGCCTGGGCCCTGCTGAGCCCTCCAAAGGGAGGATGTCAGTAAAGGGGTCGGGAGGAGCTGGGGGACCAAAGAGGAGTTCTGCAAAGAGGGAGGTGGAGGAAGGGAATCTAGAGGAAGAGGGCCTGGGAGGGAGGTCTGGAGATGGAGAGGGACCAGTGGTCGGAGGCTGGGATTCAGAAGAAAGCCGGCCAGATGAGGCAGCCGGAGGGTGAGGCAGGGGTGGGGGGCCCCAGGGAATGGGGCAGGGCAGTGGCAGGGCAGAGCGGAGGAAGGTGGCTGTCGGGAGCTGGGATGCCGTTCTGCTGCTCCCAGGGCCTTCGCCCCTGTCCTTCTGCCTTCCCTCCACCTTCCCCACTTCCCCTCCCCGTTGCCCGCCCCCCACACCCCAGGGCTCACAGTTTCGCTTCGCAGTGGAAAGTCTGAGGGGGTTGATTCCCAGCAGCATCACCCTCCAGCCCTGTGGCAGCGGCTCCCCTTGTTTACTTCCTCCGTCCTGGGTCTCCCCACCGCCCCCTCCTCACCCCTCCCCCACCCTCCAGGCTGTTCCCTTCCCCCGGGACCTTCTGCCCTTCTCTGCAGACAGTTTCTGCCTGGAACGCTCCACTTGCCCATGCTTAAGCTCTCTCCTCAGCCCCAGCATTCACACTTTGTTCTTGGCAAGCTCTTTCCTTGGTATTCATCTCCTCCCTAGTTCCCTTAACCTCCTAGAACTTCATCACCCCTGTAGACCTGTCTCCTCACCCATCCCTGCCATGTCTTCTGGGAACACGGTGGACAGGAAGCTTCACCGCACTCTCAAAGGCAGTAGGTCTGGGGAAAGGCAGGCTAAGTGTGTTGTGGGGGCTGGAGAACAGCTACGTTGTATTGTCTTCACGATGAGCTAGGCACTGTACTGGACACTTTACAGACAGTAACTCATGAAATCTAATATTTTCCTCCATTGTACAGAGGAGGAAACTGAGGCTCAAATATAAGATAATTTGCCAGTCAGTAAGGGAGCGTGAAGACAAAAGCTGTGTGTGTGGACCTGTCCCTAGTGGCATTATGGGTGACTTCTAGTCTCCTGGGAAGAATGGTGTTGTCAATGAGTGAGCCCCTCTCCCCCTTCCAGCTCACAGCCCTGTGCACTCAGAAGCTTCCCCCAGTCCAGAGGTTCTGAACTAAGGAGATGACAACGGTGATGTAACAAGGGTGAGATGGAGCTGGAGAAATGCAGAATCCCGTAACACATCAAACTCAAGAAAAACTGAGGCGGGGGGTGGGGGTGGGGCTAGGGAAGCCTGAGACTGACAACTCTTGCTCCCCAGCCCGCCTGAGGAACCCAACTGGAGAGTTGGAGGGTGTGTGACAAGAACACGCAGCAGGCCTGGGAACCACACGAGGCCCTGGACTTCTCCCTGCTTAAACAGGAGCTCACTTCCTCCACACCAGGCAGAGGGCATCTCTGATGCCCCGCAGCTGTCACTCCAGATCCTTGGAGGTTGAGACCCAGGCCTACCAGCCCTCTCTCGCTTCAGGGGCGGGACTTCCTGGTTCTGTGGCTGTTTCTATTTGCCTGGTTCAGCACAATAGCGCTGGTAGCTTTCCACTGGGCTCAGCAGTGTCGAGATCTTGTGTGCGTTAGCAGGCAAGTGTGTGTATTGTTGGGGAGGAGCATCCCCAAGAATCCAAAACAGGACATAAGTCAGCTCTTGAAAGAAGAGCTGGGCTCCTGGTCCACCCTGGAGGGCTGACCTGGTCTACATTGAGTCCTGGGTGGGACGAGTGTGCTGCTGCCTTTACAGAAGAGAATGGTCCCGACAGGATGTGAGGCCAGCCACCCTCCTCCGTCTCCACCCTTTCATTGCACTGACTGGACCCCGGGAAAGCAGGAGACAAGTTAAAAACAGAAGCGCGACCATTTCTTTATTAAATTATACAAAAAGGGGAGGGGAGGGGGGCAGCTGTGGGGCTCGGCCCCAACCCCGGCCCCACCCCGGCCTGGCGCTGTCTGAGAGGTGGGGATCTGAGGGAGATCCAGGGGTCAGGCAGGATAGGGATGGGCAGGACATGGGACTGGGGTGCAGAGGTTAGGTAGGTGAGGCTACCAGAGGAGGTGGGGTTGGTGCGGGCAGGAGGAAGAGAGAGGGAAAGAGAGAGGAACAATTGGGGACCGCTGGGGAGCTCAGATGGAGCAGGTCAGAAGGTGGGACAGTGGCAGAGTGAGGGTGGAGGAGCAGTGTCTGGAGAGGCAGAAAGGAGAAGGCTGGAGAGGAAGAAGGGGTGTGGCTCTGGGGCTGGGCCCAGCGCAGGGACCAGGTGCAGGGTGGCTGGACTTGTCTGCTCCCACCCAACCTCCAGGCCCCGAGGGCCCTCCCACTCCCAGCCCATTGGCAGGGGCTCATGCCGATGCCCCATTTTCTGTCTTCTGCCGCTTGGGATCCGCTTCGTCCTGTGCAGAAGGAAAGTTGCAGCACTTGTAAAGGGAGAGGGGACCTCCCCCTGTCCCGGCCCTGCTCCAGCTCCAGCCCCCTCCCGTGCCACCACAGGGATCTGAGTTCAAGTGCAAAGGGCTCCCAGCCCCTGCTGCATCCCTGACAGCCCCTCAGGCCCGGCAGCCAGCCCAAACCTCCTCTTCAGCAGCTCTCTTCAGCGCCGGCCCCTCGTCATCCTCTTCGTCTTCTTCCTCATCTGAGGAGCCAGAAATGTGTCATTGGGAAGGGCAGGAAGCTCTGGCAGAGACCCCCTGTGGTCGCCCTCAGCCCTGCTTTCAGGTCTTCAAACCCACCCTGACTCTGCTCCTTTGAGCCCTGGTTTTTGCAGCCCAGCCTCCCTGCCCCTCTCCCCACCTTCTTCTTCCCCTTCCTCCTCCTCCTCTCCATCCTCAGCAGCCTCCTCTTCTTCCTCCTCAGCTCCGTTCTCCTCCTCCTGTGGGGACCAGGAGGGGGAAGAGTATCAGGCTGCTGTGCCTACCCTCACCATCGCCACCAAGGGGTCGGGGCATCAGGGTGGAGCAGTGGGGATGGGAGGGGTCAAGGGAAAGGCAGGACCCAGCTCCTCAAGGAGGCAACTGGAGGAAGAAGGGGATAACTGGAGGGAAGGTGGTGGGGCAGGTGCGGCTGGCCCCTGCCTGGCCCCTCCGCACCTCCACCACTTCTTTCTTCCGCTCCTTCCGGTTGGCCTTCTCCTCCACCTTCTCCTTCTTCTCCTTCAGATCCTGCAAAGGAGAAAGAGGTCACCTTTCTCTCGCCACAGGCAGCCTGCAGCCCATAAGCCCCTCCAGCCCTGGTTCTACCTCTGCACAGTCCTTAGGGGAGTGTGAAATTGAGAAGGTGGCCACAGCTCAGAGACAGAACATAGACCCTGGGGTCCTTACATCAGGGCTGCAAAGAAGCTGAGACCAGACACTTCCTTCCCCAAGACCCAAGGGGAATGGGAAAGTGATGAAGAAAGGGCAACTGATTCCCACCGCCATCAAGTTCCTCCAAACCTCACTGGCTGAAGAGTTCAGCTAAGCAAAGCAAATCCCCTCCATCTGCGTACAGCTCTATGCCCCACCCCCTCGCACTGCGGCCGCTCTGCCTTTTGTCTACCTCTGGGGCCTTTTCCTGAGTACTCTCTCTCCTGGGCATCCCTCCCAGCTTCCAAGGCCTTTGTTTCTCTCTGTCTGTGTCTCCCTAATCCTCATGCTCCTACTTGACCAAACACTACAGGAATAAGGAGAGCATCCCAGCACATTCCTGGCACGCCCCTCCCACTTTTTCCCATCCCCATCCCCAAACAGTTCAAGTAGTGTTCTCCTGCCTACCTCCCACGGTGTATGCCTTGGTGTGGTGGAAGAGTAGAAATAGCCATTTCCAGTGGAAAGGTAGGTAAAGTAGGATGAAAGAAACATGGAAGGGAAAGAGCATCTACCAGACATGGTAGGTGAAGACAGCAACAAACAAGGTCTGTGTCTGGGGTGAGAGATGGGAATGCAGATGGGGGAGGTACCTGTTTCAAGGACCCTCCCACCGCACTGCCACCTTCCTCCTTCACCCCAAAATTCCAGCAGGCATACCCTTGAAGCCCTATTCTGATATGGCAGAGGGAGATGCCCATGTGAGAGTTCCCTCTGGACACCACACAAACCTTCCAATTCAGATTCCAATCTTCTCCCCACCCCATCCCCTGGAAGGCACTGAGCATCACTGTAGGTGTCCTTGTGTGATCTGATCTGGTGTTGGTGTGCAAGTCTGTGTACCTAACTCCATGTGGATGGAAGTCTTCTGTGTTAGGAGATCACCCTGGGAGGATGTGTCCTTTCTGGAACAGGATAGGGGTTAGGAGAGGGGCTTAGGGCAGAGTGGCTGGCCTGAGGGGGACACCCAATTCCCTTCTCCCTTTGAGGGGATCACAGAACACTTGACCCTCTCTCTGTAGGTTTCTTCTTCATCCCCCTTTGCTGTCTTCGTTTATTTGCCACAAGGTCAGTATGGCATTTCTGGTGGGCTTTTCCCTACATCCTGGGCCAGGAGAGCCAGAGGCTAGTCAGCTTCTCTTTGGGTGTCCCAGTACCAGGTTTGTATGGCCCTGGCCTGAGTTTCCCATCTGGGCTGATAAAGGGAGGGAGGCAGAATACCAGAGACCAAAGTCCAAAGGGCTGGACCCTCTCCTCCCTGCCCTGTCCTTCTGGTCACTGTCCCTCCATGATCCCTTTCACAGGAGGGTATGTGACCTGGACCCTAGGTCTTGTGCTAAGCAGCTCTCTGGCCTCATTTGGTCAACACAGGCACACACACTGACACAGGCTGACACCGATTCACACACACAGCTACAGAGGAGCCCACGCGATCCGGAGACACATGGCCCGGTGTTTGGACATTCTGGCACACACTCTTAAGACAGCACAAGGGCACAGTGGAGCCACTCTGCACTCACAAAGCGACAACATGGCTCCAGAACATCTACGTCTCCACATGCACACATGTAACTGACACGGGCAGTCCCACACGCTCGCTGGATTTCAAGCATACAAAGACACCTACTCAGTGAAGTCACATGCCATTGCACAGCCCACCGGAGGGCCACACAAGCACACCTTGTCAGACCTCCCACGTATCCCCTTCTCCCGCTGCCTTTCATCCCACTGGCTCCCCCTTTCACTTCGCAGGCCTCCGGAGACCTGTGTGAGGCTCCTCGGCCACCCCCCACAAGATCGGGCTCCCAGCTCCCAAACCCTGGCGGCGTTAATTTCCCTAAGCGACACACTCCGCAGGTTCCCTAGGGAAATTAGAGGAAGGCTGGAAGAGAGGCAAGGGCAAAGGGATGAGGCCGGGGAAGGGAGCTGATGGGGGCAAGGGCAGCTCGATGCAGGGCCCAGCAGTGCCGGGCCTCAGGTTTTTCGAAGGCTATTCCCGCCCTCCTTCTGATTTTTAGGAATTCAAGATTCTTTAAGTAGGGGGCGGGGGAGAGGGGACAACGAAGAGAAAAGAAAGCTGAAAGCCAGCGGAGGAGAGGGAATGGAAGCAGACGGGCAGAAAGGGGGAAACGAGAAAACAGAGGCAGTAGCCGTCCGGGGAGAGAAGCGAGAGACGGTCGGGCGGCGAGGGGAGGGGCCCGCGAGGAGTAGCCTCCCCAGAGAGTCCTGTTTACACTTGAGGACCTCAAGCCGCTTAGCGGAGGAAAGGTGAGGTCAGACTGGAAGGAGACACGGGGAGACAGGGCGCGGGGAGGGGCGCGGTGAAGTGAGCCGCGGAGAGCTCCGACGGGAAGCCGGCCGGGCTCGAGGCGGGAGAGGTTGGGCCGGGCACGGGTGGGGACGGCGGCGGCGGCCGGGCGCG